ACACATATATATATATTTTTTTTTTTGCAAATATACTGTACTTTTTTGTTGTGTTCATGACCTACGTTATATTTCAGATTATGTTCTTATTATTGTCTTTTGGTTAACAAGGATCTACTTGACTTGAATTGTTATGTAAACTTAATAGAGTTAAATTCCTTTATGGAAGAAGTTTTAGTATGTAGCAAAAATATAATGTACAGATTGATGTAAATAGAACTAATGCCTTTATCTCTTTAATCACAAAATAATCGCATCCACCATAAGAGCCAACATCATGGGTGTTCATGGCGTATTATATAAAAGGCAGACTGGCAGAAAATTTTTCTTTGTAATCAAATTTCTTTAGGACTAGGTAGATAATATTAGGTAGGCAATAACGAGATAAGAACATGACACAAAAATTAAAATTTTTCAAACGTATAATAAACTGCAAATTTTTTAGATCATCCCTAAAATGTTATTTTGTCAGAACGTTATTACAGAACACTCTATGAATAATATGTGAAGATTGGAACGTGTGATCAATGTCAAAAGTCCTTGGGTTGCTGAAAAACTAGACATCAGGTTTGAGAAAAATATTTACAAATTGTTCCACCTTCTCTTGTCCTAAAAGATACCTGAAGCTACGATTAATAGACAACAATATCATGTCATTTAATATTATGATTTATGATAGAAACGATAAGAAATGAGGTATAATTGTACACAGATCATGAGTGTAAGCGTGATAAATCTATAATTTCATATATCACTGATACAAAATTGAAAAAGGAGGAAAGAACTAATAATTTCTTGAACCTAACCGTGATAAGAGACATCATTGCAACGAACGTCGTATATTACAGATAAAAAAGAGTAAAAGAAGAAAACTATAAACTACAGACTCTTAAGAATCCATTTGATGAAGAAATCCTATACACTAAACGTAATGATCATTCAAATTTCTCTCATTGTTTTGAGTGTCGTTAATTCATGTGAATTCGCCTTAACGCGGGTTCGTTGCGTTTCTCAGGGAACAAAACAGAGAAAGGAGGTGCAGCAAGAGAAACAAATGATCCGGATGAAGAGCGAGGAGAAATCGAGGAGATGGCCGAGAGAACACGGAAGAGAAGAGAAGAAAGACGAAGAAAGGAGAGGAAGGGGGAATTCGGGAAATAAGTTTCTGCCTCGCGATTTCGCCGTTGCCTTCTGAGGCATCGATCGATCGGCTCTTGAAAGAAAATTCCCTCGTCCTTGAGGGAACAAGGGTCCGATTGCTTGAAGTCAGTACCAGATTCTTCGACACACCGAATTTAAGTGCAATAAAATTTGACACGTCTTTACCGACAAATAAAATTGTTCGTTAGGCAAGTTAAATCGTTAGTTAAATCGTTGTTTTAACACAGGACGTTGCGAAACTGTTATCGATATAATTATCACGATTCGAAATGCTTAAGATACAACAGAGATTTACAAAAAAAAGAAAAGGAAAAGGTTAATGTTATCGTGCCTGACTTCTCACTTCTTTTTTGTTCAAGTTGTTAAATGGGGGAAAAAAAACTGCGTTCGCTGAATCGATAGAGTTTAGTTGATTTTTGATGAAAAAAAAAAAAAAAAAAAACGAGTTTTAATGGCTTACTTTGTTCGCATCTCCCGTGCACGTTTTTAAACGTGAAGACCCGATGCTGGCCTCTCGCCTCACTACCGGTATAACTTCAACGAAATATTATTTTTCCTTTATTCAATTATTCGCTGTCGCAATGGCGTATTGTGCGGCATTAAATGAAAAAGAGTTAACGGCGTGTTCAATATCAAAACGTCTAGTTCATTTACCAGTTTGCCAGCTTCTGCCGGCCTTTGTCAGCTATTCAGAACAACGACCGGATACGAAGTAGACGTAAACACTAAATACATAGAATATGGAAATGAATGCAATGCTCGTGGAACAGGTCACGAAATTCTTTTGGGCCGGTCCT